GCCAGTTTACAGCTGGAAGACATCGCAGCTCAGAGCTGACGTCCCTTGTCCATGGTCACACAGCTGGGATATGTGGGTGACGTGGGCTTCCACTCTGAGCCTGGCAGTCTTCAGAGCCCTTGTAGTGCAAAAATCACACCGTGCCATCTCTCCAGGGAAATCCCAGTTACTGTCCTTCCTGCTGCCAGGGAGAGAAAGGAGGACACCCTTTAGAAGTGTCTTTGGTAAATGAGACTGACGTTCGACTGTGTCTTAAAGCCCTGAGAGGAAAGGAGAGGCCCTAGGATTTGCCGGGGGATGGTGGGCGGCCCCATGGGCGCAGGTCAGCACTCCTGGGCAGCGCTTGCAACACGCAGGCTACTCTCTAAAGAGATCACCTTACTCAGCCTGAGGCGAATGGCAGAGGTGGACGTGCAGGGGTGGTAACTTGGTTCTCCAGGTTCCTGTGTTATTTTAGGGCTGGAGGACCACTGGAATGCTCATACTTCTCGGATGAAAACCCCGGTCTACCCTTGCCTCCCGCACCGATTCTTATAATGAGTCACAGCTCCCCGGAGTGGAGAGGCCAGGGGGGTGGCTTGCCCTTTGTCCTCTTATCTGGTGGGACCTCCTGGGTCAAGAGCCCAAGTGTAGTCGGAGAGCCGCCTCCTCTTATCCTGTCCTTAATTATAAAAAAGAAGTCAGGTTCAGAGAGGAACAAAGTATTTTCCCATAATCCAAAGGTCGGCCAAGGTAGGCTAATGAGGAAGGCCATGAGGAATGCCAGAGACAGCGCATTGCAGACACTGATAAGAAGTGCAGGGGACAGCATGGGCTCTCGGGTTAGAGAGCAAGAGAGCACAAGGAGTGTCCCACTGCAGGAGCAGGGGAAACTTAGGGCCACCCGGGTTCTGCCCAGTGGCCTCTTGCCAACTGTGTGACTTTGGGTCAGCCCCTCATCCTGCCATGGAATCAAGCTGCAGCCCCCAGGCTCCCTTGCTCACATGCCACGTTCAGAGGACACTGACCATGGGAACATGGAACCATTCGCCTGCCTCTGGCATCCTCTTACCATTCTGTGAACCCTTTGGGCTCAGTTTTTGTTTCCGCAATGGGAGGGTATTTAACCACAGGAGATATTCTCAGGTTTTGGAATTAAATGGCCTTCAGTCAATCAAAGGTATAGGATCTGCTGTGGTAGAATTAAAATGCTTACCTTTTGCTAGAAAGGCATTTATGTGTGGACAGGTATTGGGGGCCACATTTATAATGTACAGTAAATTTTAAAGATATAAATTGCAACAGTATTGTTGGGAGTCTGGTGTGTGAGGCATTTGCTGGTGGATGTGCTTCTCTGCAACAGTATTCACATGCATCGGGCCCTTACACGACCAGCAGTTCATCTTCCCGATCACTGTGGGTGGGGGTTTCTTCCTGTGCTGGTGCGCAGGGTCGCCCCTCACTGCTGCAGCGCTGCCCTGGGTGGTTCTAACTTCCAAGGATAACCGGCTCCTTTGCAGAGGGTCTGAGCCTGTCCTGGCTCTGGGCAGAGGAGGTTCCCTTTAGTGACCTGAGAACTCTCTGCTGTGAGGCACATGGGATGCAAATGGGAGCAGCAGTCCCACTTGGGAGGGGTCCCTGTATTCAAATGATGGACCTAGAAGAGCCTTTAGAGACCACTGGCTCTAATGTTCATTGTATATGTAGAAAAAGAGGCCCAGAGAGGGATGGTGGATTTGTTCAAGGTTGTACAGCTAGATGGTGTAAAGACAGGGCTAGGACTTTGTTGCTTGGGTCGTTGTCTAATTCCGTTGTCTGTTAATACTACATAATGGGCCAACAGCATTCCCAGAGAGGGGTGTTAGTTTGGAGCCTTCGCTGCCCCAGCACCAGCCTCAGCTCTCTGGATGGGGAAACGGTTGGGCTTTGGGATCTTTCGGCTGGCCCTTGCCAAGAGGAGAGGACCCCTAGTGCTTTGTGTGCACAGTCCACCCAGGAGAGTGATTCATGCCTGAGAGCAGAGCCAGTTGTGGTCTGAGGTGACGTGGCTGTAGCATACATAGCTCTTCTCCGTGTCTCTCCTTTTTCTTGTAAACGAACCTCCCCCACCAAACAGGTTTTCAGCCCCACTCCTCTCCTCTGAAGTGCCGGGAAGCCAGCACTGTCTATCTGTGCTGCTGTGGGAGAGATTCCAGAGAAGGATCGAGAGCCCCAGGCAGCCAGCAGGGGGAGGATTTGAAGGAGAGAGGTGGTAATTGGATAACCATTGAAATGAGGCAGCGTGCATCTCAAAAGTCAAGTGGCCTTGAAGGGAAACCTTGGTAGTGCTTTAAGACTTCGTGGTTTAGCAACTATGAAATAACACGCCCTACTCGGACTGCTCTGATGCAGTGTGCCTGTTTAACAGTGTACTGGGGGAATGTCACATTTTAGAGAATTGAAGTTTATCCTCTCAAATGTCAAAATTAAAAACAAACTGAAAGTCTTCTTTGATTGGAATGTTTTGAAAATGATGCACTTCTCTGTACTGTTAAATGGAACATTTAATGACTGCCCCCGGAGGGGTTTGCGGGTCCCGCCTCTGCGTGGGTGGAGCAGATCCTTCTGGTTGAAGGTCTGCGTCTGGAGTTTCACCTCTGCCCTCCCTCTGAGCTGTCCTGCCCCTCCAGTTTCCTCAGCTGCTCATCATTTGCTGACTCCACTGTGTCGAGGACTGAAAATCCCCGGCACCAGCCTTGGTCAAGTGTGGGGAGCAGCACCACCTGAGCGCCTCTCTTACAGAATAAAATGCAACTGTGACACCTCCGAAAGGATGCAGAGGCTATTTCTATTTATCTCTTAAGGAGAAGGAGATGATCACAGGTCTGAGCTCCAAGCCAGTGGGAAAATATTTAATTCCTGTAAATTATTTATAGCTTCATTAGCTTGATAAATATTTGAAGACCTACTAGGTGTCGGGCTCAGCGGTTGGTGCTGGTGTTCAGAATAGTCATCATCCACTGGAGGGGGCATGGTGAGGGCTGCCACAGGGTCATTTGTGTGTGGTACGTGACAGAGGAAATCAGCTTACCTCCGTGGGTGCAAGGAGAGAATTGGAGCTGGCATTTGAAAATTCATTAGCCTCCTGCCTTCTCCCTGTTGGAAATGTAACTGTTACAGATATACAACCCATGCATATTGTAGTAATCTGTGATAACTGAACTGTTCAGGATGATTGGGTTAAAATACGGAAAACTTCCATGGGGCTGGCCTGGTGGCAGCGCAGTGGTTAAGTGCGCGCGCTCTGCTGCGGTGGCCTGGGGTTCGCAGGTTCGGATCCAAGGCGCGCACCGACGCACCGCTTGTCAAGCCATGCTGTGGCGGCATCCCATATAAAGTGGAGGACGATGGGCATGGATGTTAGCCCAGGGCCGGTCTTCCTCAGCAAAAAGAGGATTGGCATCCGATGTTAGCTCAGAGCTGATCTTCCTCACACACACACACACACACACAAAAAAACCCCAGAAAACTTCCAGTTAAAATATATATATTTTTAATACAGAGTAATGTTATATATAAAAATTAAAATCTTATAATACTCTGAATTATATGCTTAATTGAGCTTACCTGCATCTAGATTATCTAAATTATCTACCCACTTAAATCCTGACATTCACCTCTTCTTTTGGAATGAATTATTTGGCTATAATTAGGATCTTTTTTGATTTTAGTCTAGCAGTACCTGAGAGAGAATAACTCTAATTACAGTAAAATCTTATTAAATTATATTCCACCAATTCAGAATTGGTGATAATTTGGCAAGACAAAGCAGAAATATATCGTTACTCTCCTAGAAGAAACAAGCAGTACTGTTAGGGTCACGGAGATCAGACTTGTGATCGCTTAAAGGAGAGATCAGCTTTCATACTCTTTGGAAATGTCCATTTCTCTGCTGATAATTAATTGGGAGTTATTCTTGACAGCCCCTCCCCCATCTCTACTTTCCACAGCTTAGTCGGAGTGACTATGTATAATGTGAAAGTTGGGAAACTGCATTTCTTAAATATTTTATGTAAGCCATCTCTTCAATTTTGGTGAGGCTTTAATAACCTCATCCAGTGGTTGTGTTTCCTGACACAAGCAGGGCACGTCTGGGGCCCAAGGAAAGTGGAAGGCGTTCGCCAGTGGCGGTTCCCAGAATGCTGACCCTAGTCCAGGGTCTGGGGATGTTATAGAGTGGTTATGGCTCATTCTTTTCCTTACGTTCAGAATTTTTATTGAAGGCATCTAATGCAATTTAGATTTTGCTGTATTTAATACTCTTGCAGTATAAAAGCTTATAAATATAGGGTTTGTGCCAAGCAGAGGTAAGTTTCAGTCCATTCCCTGTTGGAATGCAAATCATTAATGGGGACAGTCCAAATTAGAGGTTTTTTCATAGGGTCAAATATTTAGCTCCTCAGGGATTAATTAGCCAGGCTCTTTGTTTTCTTTATCTGCTGCCTGTTCCTCTGTTGTTTTTCTGATAGTCATCAGTCCCACTGGGCATTAGGCAAGAGAGTGATTAACTCTTCCCAGATTTCACCTCCCTTACACACACACACACACACACAGAGTAACTGCTGTTTATTAACCACTTGTGTAGCAGGCATTAGGTTAAGCCTTCTCATCCATTAGGTTAAGCCTTCTCATCCATTTTTATTTAGTCCCCACACTAACCCCCTGAGCTGGACACAGCTCAGGAGTTGAGGCTCAGAAGTCACATCGCTTGTCCAGGGTCTCACAGCAGAGCCGGGCTTCAAGCCCAGGTCCCTCTGACCCCATTGCCGATGCTCCTGAACACACACCCCTCCTTTGCATCCCGTAGCTTTCACTGTTGAGCACACATCTGTCCCCTACCACGTGTGAGCTCCTGCAGGGCTGGAGCTGGCTGCTGGGCACGTTAGGGAACTCCTAGAAGTTGTTTATTGGACTCGGCTAGAAGATATGGGGGAAAGAGGTGAAAATGAACTGAAGCAGAGGTGAGCCCTGGCGTAGGCTGCCTGTCCCTCATTTCCA